GTGCAAAAAGGGTGGGATGCCTAAGTATCCTAAGTCCTTACCGCCCTAATGAACCCCTCACGAAGCGGCATGGTCCTGCGTGCTGAAGATGTTGCAGGAGCACCAGCGCACCTTAGCGCCAAGCGCCGCCAAGGTCTCGATGAGCACACCCGTCTGGATGGTCATGTGCAGGGAGCCGTTGATGTTCATGCCCTTGAAAGGCTGCGAGGGGCCAAACTCCTTGCGTGCCGCCATCAGGCCGGGCATCTCGTGCTCCGCCAAGGTGAGCTCCTTGCGGCCGAATTCGGCCAAGCCCATGTCCTTCACCTGGAAAGCGTTCTGATTCAAGCTTCCATTGAGAGTTTGGCACCAATCATTCTCCACAACGGAGGAGGACAAAAATTCTTAGATGCCCAAAATCCGAAAACCCAAGCTTGAACCTAAAACCTTAGATGCCGAAAAACAACGCCGAAAGCACCAAACTTGAACCTCAATGGTGCCATGCTCTCTAAGGACGAACCCCACTTAAGCTACGTGGTGCCATGCGCTTCAAGAAACCCCGCCTTGGAGTCCGCCATGATCCAAAACGGGGCACTACTGGAAGGTGGGCTGAAACTCGGCAAAATGCTCGGTGGAGGTCATAGTTTTCCGACGATGAGGGTTTTGGTCTTTCACGGCTTAGGGTTGTTTAATGTAGGGCAATGTAGGGGCGGGCGATGCCTCAGGTTGAGAGAATCGAAAGTAAGTGGTCGTGTCAGCTAGATGGCCGTTCTGTTCGTGTCTGAGTATCAATATAGTCAATATAGGGGTCGATACAGTGCTGCATAGGCGTACTCCGAACACGAATGGTAGTTGTAGGATCATCCACGCGGCAACGTGGCCCGAAAGAAGTGCGTTGGAAATTGCGCGGGAGGGAGACTATCATCTCAAAGGTACTATCAAACAACAGAAACTGATGTGCTCATCAGCCCCAGAAGCTCGGCAGATTATACCGTATCAGATCAGACCAGTTCAGATCAAACCACACCATGCTGTGTCATGGGATGTCGAACTGCAAAATATTACCGTAGACCAGACCCTAAGGCCCCTACTCATTCAGCACCGAAGACGATCGACTGCAAATGCCTGCACATGGGTAGTTCTCTATATTAGGGTCTCTTTCTAAATCACCAACATAGTACGGCGCCCACATCAAAAGGACCCGAAGAGGAACCCTAACTTCGAGAACTACCCGCATGCATGAAGGAATAATCGGAATCAGAAGCCGATCACTGCACCTGCTTTTGCCGTCGATGCTTCGAGGCTGCAGGTCAGTGAGACAGAGGCCCGCGGGATCCGTGGATCCGTGTCTAAAAGGACGCACGGCGCCGAGGGCATGAACTCATCTGCTCAAGAGATGTTGCTCCTGATGTTTAAGGAGAATATGTTTTTTTCGCAAGGATTTAGTAGCGGTAGGTGTCGGGCTTGAAGGGACCCTCGACGGGCACGCCGATGTAGTC